TTCAGTGTCGTATGTCATGAGAAACGGGGTTTCACCGGTTGCCCCTTTTCAGTTGTTTTGATGGCCCATAGGACATGAGGCAACTCATTTGCCCATGGACCGTCAGCCCTTTCAATCTTCTTCTTAATGTCGTTTGAGAAGAGCTTGTTAAAGGCTTTAACTTGGTCGTTTGCTTGGGGACGGCCGACAGATGCAAAACAATGTGAGATCCCTTGATCTCCCAACTAGCTCTTGAGGGTAGGCGTTTCAAACTGAGGGTCATTGTCAAAAACCATTGACATAGGTACCCCAAACTGGGTGATGATGTTTCTCCAGATGAAGGAGATGACATCCTTTGTCTTTATGCCCTTAACCGCCTCTGCCTCAACCCATTTGGTGAAGTAATCTACAACCACCAGGATGTACCTCCGCCCGCCTGTGGCAGGCGTATATGGGACCAGGATGTCCATGCCCCATTTTGCAAATGGAACCGGGCTGTAGATAGCCGTCAAATCAGTGGTCGGTCGATGTATGAGCCGGCCAAATCTTTGACACTTATCGCACTTCTTCACCATTTCCATGGCGTCTGCCTCAAGAGTGGGCCTAAAGTAGCCTTGTCGTCTGGCCCTTTTTGCTAGAGTTCTGCCACATATATGTGATGCAAAAAAGCCCGAGTGAAGATCCTCTAGAACTTCTTTCCCCCTTTCTAGGGTAACACATTTCAGCAGCGGCTAGAGGTAACCCTTCTTGAAGAGTTCTCCCTTGTAGATTTCAAAACTTGAGGCTCGCTTTTTCAATGCAGCCGCTTCTGAAGGGGCGTCCGGCAAAGTACCGTCTGCCAGATAAGCCCGAATGGCATCCATCCAGGTAGAGCTTCGGTCAAGAACTCCAATGGGATCATGTTCAATGCTTCTTTTTTCCATGACTTCCCAAAAGACTGACCTAGGCGCATCACAAGAGGCGGATGATACCAACTTAGACATTGCATCCGCCTGATTATTTTTTGACCCGGGCACTTGACTTAGATGAAATTCGTCAAGTGTCCCGGCCTCATCTTTGACCGTCTGCAGATACTTGATCATAGCCGGATAGGTGGCCTCGTAGTCACCATGGTATTGGCTAACGATCAACTGAGAATCTGAGCAGGCGTCAACTTTCCTTGCCCCTGCCGCCTTACACATGCGGATACCGGCTAGCAGGGCCTCATACTCCGCCTCATTGTTAGAGGCTTGGAACTTGAACCATAGTGCATATTCATACTGGTCCCCTTCCGGAGACTTGCAAATTACGTCTGCACCACAGCCGTTCATAGTAGAGCTCCCGTCTACATATACCTTCCAGACCTTATCAACATTGTCTGGCTGAGCCGGCCTTGTCATTTCCACAATGAAGTCGGCGAACGCCTGACCCTTCACTGCTTTTCTTGGTTCGAAGGTGATTTCCAGACATTGCATTTCAATAGCCCACTTGAGCATTCTGCCGGATGACTCCAAGGTTGTCATTGGCCGCTTGAGGGGTTGGTCTGTGTAGACCACCACCGGATGTGCCAAGAAGTATGGTTTCAACTTCTTGATTTCCATGAACAGGGCAAGGCCAAATTTTTCAACCAAGGGGTACCGCAGCTCAGCATTTCGATGAACATGGCTAATGAAATAGACCGGGAGCTGGATGTTATCTCTCTCAGCTAGGAGAACGGCACTGAGGGCACGATCTGAGACGGCCAAATACATATAGAGAACCTCTATATAGACCAGCTGTGGCAATGAGTGAAGGTGCTCTTTCAATTTCTAGAATGCCGCCTCAGCATTTTCCCCCCATTAGAATCTAGTCTTCTTCTTGATTTCCTTATATAAAATCGCTAGTATCAGTAGAGGTTTTACGCGTAGAACCTCAAATACCATAAGCGGTTCTAAGTTGAATCTACCTCGTTTACATCAGCTTACAATTCTGCACATTATAAAGAACTGTTAATGGTATTAGAGATTCTATGCATATAACCTCTAATGATATTATCGATTCTTTATATAGAACCTCTAATACCGATAACAGTTTTATACATAGAACTACTAATACTATAAGAGGTTCTACATTAGTTAGATACGACAACCAAGTTAGCGGTTTTATACTCGCAAATACCTAACCTTAAAACCGAAGCCTGCGTGGACAATATTGTGAAAAATAGTTTTAAATTAATGTATATAAGGGTGTCTATTCGATTTTCGCTTTGGATTTAGGCCAAATACAATCCGATCCGAAATAAAATTCGGTTTTTGATTTTTAAATCCAATCCGATCCGAATTTCACATGAATCCAATCCGATCCAATCCGAATTAAAATTCATTTATTTGAATCCGATCCGAAAATCCGAATTAAAATACGTTGCAAATTTTTAGGGGCCTAAAGTGATTATAAAAATAAAAATGCAATTATAAAAAGCTTAGTCTTAAATACATAGTTGTACAAGATTGATACAAATATTAAAAACATAATTTATATTAATGTAATTATCAACATAATTTTACATGATTTATATAAAGTATCCTTATTTGTAAAAGCATGTTTCATATTTCGGTTAATTCGGTTTTTCGGATCCAAATAAGGTCAATCTGAAATAATTCGATTTGGATTGGATTGTATTTCGGTTTTTATCCGAATAATGGACACCCCTAAATGTATATAAGGAATTAGTTTATGTATTTACATTATTTAGGAAAATTGCTCTTTTTATTGAAGGTTTAAAAAATCGTTTGGCCCAAAATCTCTCACATAGATGCTATTTGTATCAATAATTTCATTTCAACAACATCAATAATAAAATCTTAAGTTTGTTCACTTCACCTTATTTTTGCTAAACAAAAACTATTTTTACTGAACTTAAATTACTTTTGCTTAACTGTATTTATTTTTATTGATTCCATATTATATTTCTTGTTTATAGTTACTTATTTTAAGTGAGATGAAACTATTTTTACTGAGCTGAACCTTTTTTTTACTAAATTGAAATTATTTTTAGGAAAATTGTAAACTAATAATCCCACCTTTAGGTGGTCTTCCACAAACAATCCCACCTTTCTAAAATCCAGAAACAATCCCACCTATTCCCCCTATCTTCCATTAACGATCCTTTTTACAGGTTACCCCTTAAACCGGTAAACCTATTCTATTTCCCTCCCTAAAGTCTTTCTTCTCCAACGGTTTTCCCCCAAAAAAAACATAAGTTTCGCCATTTTTATGAAACAAAGTAACAATTAAAAAAAAAAATTAACTTTCAGAAACTTATCTTCATCGAAAGGACTGCAATTGTTCATTGATTGAAGGAAATTAAGGTCCTTAGCACAGCAATTCAAGGTGGGCTAATTAGAGGTAAATTTTCGACAAACCCTAGCTTTCTTAAATTTGCGAATTAAAGCAATTAAACGAAGATAGCTTCGATTAACATAGTGAAGAGTAATTTAAGTAGTTATTGAGACTGTTTGCGTATTGTAATGGGTCTTGCATGTTTGAAAATATATCATGGTGGAAAGTTTAAATTTGACAGTAATGGTTACTGGGTTTATTTGGGAGGGAAGTTCAGAACTTTTGATGTTGATGTTGATGAGTTGTGTTGGTTTTATATGAAGGAATTAGTTGCTAAATGTGGTAATTATTCTGGAAATTTCAAACTTTATTACTTAAATCCTGCACTTGACTTGAGGGGTGGGTTAAAGTCTGCATTTACTGATGATGAATTCAGAGAATTGGGTAGGGTAATGGTGGAGAACAGAACAGTAGACTTGTATGTAGTTGTTGATGATGTTCAGCCTGAATTTGTTAAACAATCCCAGACTGGATCCAATACCACAACCCAGCCCACTTCAGCCATTGTTGCCACAGAACATGAGCCCAATAGGCCCAAAAAATTGAAATCTAAGAGAGCTGGCATTTGGAGTCAGGCATCTAGTGCAGTTTCAGAGAAGCTGCATGTGTTGAAAAAGTCTAAAGGAAAAGCAGTAGAAGTGGTCCCCACTCTAACAACAAACAAACAACTTCAACCATTTCCTAGATCTAGTACCTCCATTTCATTACCAGAAAACCCTAGTCAAACAACAGCAACCCCAACTCAAACAGAAAACACATTAGAGCCTCATTCTGAATTCATTAGATGTGAAGTGCCAGGGGACTATGATTGGGAGGAAGACAGACCTAATAGCCCCATTGCCATAGATGAGTTACTGTATGGTTTAGGAAGTGATGAAGATGATGATGATAAAGATTATGTGTTAGAAGATGATTTAGAGGGTGAGTCTGATGCAGATGAGTATGAGGATGAGGTTAATCTCAGAAATGAGTATGAGGAAGAGGATTGGCTAGGTGATTATGAGATTTATCAAGCTAACTTTGATTTAGATGGGGAAGATGATGATGTTAGTGACATTGCAGAGTTGAAGGAGCCAGAGGATTTTGATGCTGATAGTAGTGATGATGAGCAAAGGGAGGCAAGGGAAAGAGTGAAAGGTTTCAATTGTAGTGTAGTAGAATTGGCACAATCACTACAAGTTCAAGCTGCTAAGGGTAATTTAGCTGCACAACAGGAGGGGAACAAAGGGGGTGAGAGTAGTATACAGGTTGGGGAAACTAGTAAACAAGCTGGGGATGGTGGAAAACAGGCTGGTAACAACTCTGAATATGAAGAATCTGATGAAGAAATTCACACACCTAGGGGAAGTGATGAAGAGGAGACAATTGGGGAAAGAAAGAGCAGGAGAGGTCTGCTTGTAGGGCTTGAGACTGACTTTACTCAGTTTCAGTGGAAAGTTGGGCATAGATTTGCAACTAGGGAGGACTTCAAGTAAGCTGTTGCTAAGTTTGCAATTTTTCAAGGTAGAAATCTAACTATTGTGACAGCAAATAAAAGAAGGCAACAAAGAATTGGTGTGAGATGCAGTGAAGGGTGTCCTTTTAGGTTGTATGCCTCTTGGGACTCCTGGAGAGGTTCCTTTGTAGTTAAAACAGTAGTGTCAAACCATAGTTGCATCAGAACTATGGAGAAAAACAAGCAGCTGAAAGGGTCATGGTTGGCAGAACAACTACTTGATGTGTTTAAGGCTAGGCCTCATCGGCCAGCTAAAGAGATCATTGAAACAGTTAGGAGAGCTTACAGGGTTATCATTAGGAAAGAGTTTGCTTACAAGGTAAAGTGGCATGCTCACAAAAAGCTTCATGGCTCCATGAGAGAGCATTATGGGAAGGTTGGCAGGTATCTTGAAGCCTTGAAAAGGTCCAGTCCAAACACACAGTTGGACTTAGTCACATACATGGACAAGAATAAGCCACCACAGATTTTTCAGAGGTTGTATGTCTGTTTTGAGGGATTGCAAAAAGGTTGGATGGAGGGTTGCAGAAAAATTATATGTGTTGATGCTTGCTTTTTGAAGACATTCCTAGGGGGACAGTTGATGTCTGCTGTAGGCAGAGATGGGAATGATCAGATGTACCCAATTGCTTGGGCAGTGGTGGAGGGTGAAAATAATACTTCCTGGGAGTGGTTTCTGAATAACCTCAGCAAAAGCCTTCAGCTTGGTGATGGTTCTGGAACTGTGATTGTGTCAGATGAGCATCAGGTATAAACTTCAACTGTTTTTGGTTTTTTTTTTTCCTGAATTCATTAATACATATATTTGGTTATGTTGGTTTTTTTTTGCTGAATTCATTAATACATATTGCTTTACTAGGCCATTCTAAGAGGGGTTAGTGTGACACTCCCTCAAGCTGAGCACAGACATTGTGCAAGACATATTTTTTTCAAATTGGCACAAGAATTTCAGAGGTGATGAAATGAAATTGATGTTTTAGAGCTGTGCAAAGTCATATAGTGAAGCTGACTATAGAGATGCACTTAATAAGTTGGAGACAACTAATGCTGCAGCTGCTGCTGCTGCAGGCTTCAAAAGTTACAACCCAAATGTCTTCTGCAGGGCATTTTTGAAAACTGATGTGAAGGCAGATGCCATCACATCTAACATGGCTGAGACATTTAATGGGTATATCATTAATGCTAGGGCAAAACATTTGCTTTATATGTTGGAGGATATAAGGGCAGCTTTAATGAGGAGGTTGGTGATTAAGAGGCAGGAAATGGAAAAATGGAAGAGTGTTTTATGTCCAAGGATTCAGAAGAAGCTAGAATCAGAGAAAGAGGAAGCTGCTAATTGTGAGGTCATTCCTTCTTCACAGAGTGTGTTTCAAGTGAGCCATATCTTGGACACTATGTCTGTGGACCTAGAAAAAAGAACTTGCACATGCAGAAAATGGGACATGTGTGGGATCCCATGTTGCCATGCAGTGGCTGCAATTTTTTTCTGTCATAAGAAGGCAGAAGATTATGTTGATGAGTGTTATAAGAAGGAGATGTACTTGAAAGCATATGAGAATTCAATCCCTCCAATTGAAGGTGAAAGGCATTGGCCTCAATCAGAGTTGAGTATGGATCCACCCCCCATCAAAGTAGGACCAGGAAGGCCAAGGAAGAATAGAAGAAAGGATCCATTTGAGGACCCTAAAAAGCCAGGAAAGTTGACCAAACATGGCATGGAAATGACATGCTCTGTGTGTCAACAAAAGGGCCATAATAAGAGAAGGTGCCCCATCAGAGGAACTACTCTGCCACAAGCCCCACAAACCCCAGATGAGCCTCCAGCAAAGAGAGCAAGGGGTAGGCCAAGGAAAGAGGTTGCAGCTTCCCAACCTATGCACCCATGCTCTTCTACTCATCTAACAGCAACAACTGAACCTTCAAGAATAGGAAGGGGAGGTAGAGTGATCAGCAGGGGAGGCAACTCAGCTGGAAGGGGAACTGGCAGAGCTAGGGGAAGGGATGCTCCAACTAGTAAGGGTGGGAGAACTGGTAGGGGAGGGGAAGCTTCAAGCAGTATGGGAAGAGGTGTTACCACAACAACAGGAGGTAACAGAGGTGGTAGAGGAACAAGGGGTGGAAGAGGCAGAGGAAGAAATCAGGTCCCCCAAGGTTTTGGTGTTTATTTGACATCAGATGGCTCTACATTCACTAATGTATGACAGTAACTTATTGACTATTTTATTACAAAGCCTATTTATGTGGAAACAAAACTAACTCCTTTTTTTTTTTTCAATGCAGCCACCAGGAAGTGCAGGACCTCAAGATGTTTCAGCATACACCACTACTTTCTCCTACAACTTCAGTCAGGGTTCCTCAAATTAGAACAACATGTAATAAGGATGTATTAGTTAGTTAAGATCAATGACATTCCTAAGTTTATGCAATTCAAACCTATGTTTATGTATCTTCATTTGAACAGAGTTTGTCTTGTATTTTGAAGAATTTCATGTTATGCTATATATGCTCTCTGTTTGTGCAATTTTTTCATAGTATATATGTTGTATTAAAGTGTTTAAAACAGTGGCTGCAACAACAATTAAATTGCAAGAATTTCAGCAACAACAATTTAACCAAGCAACATAAGTCATATATTCATTGAAATTGCCATGGTTACAAAAGTCAGTGAAGGTCAACACCTACACTACAGTCAAGCCCTACTTCCTTCTTTAAGTCAAGCCTAGCATACTGAATACCATCCTAGCATGCCAATTAAGCAAAAAAACCAAACACTTTCACATCTGAAAACTACCCAAAATACAGATGTCCCAACCAACCCACAACCCACTTATACTACACCTTCACAGCAACCCCAAAAAACTACCTTAACCCCATCATCAACACACCCTATTTCATCAACAACACAAGGGTGAAAAATGCCCAAGAGAAGACCAGAGTAAGCATTAGCCTTTTGTCAGTGTTGTTTTCCTTGAGTTCAAACATTGTTTCAGTCGTTGCAATGCCCATTTCCTCCACCTCTTCAACCAGCTTCTTTTTCTTTGCCTTGAGCCTCTTCACTTTATCCTTCATCATGTCCATTTCAGACTCAAGCTCACAAATTCTGGTCTCCTTCTCCATAACCAAATGCTGCAGATCACGAACATCATCCACCTCATCAGCCCACTTGAAAAAGCCACAAGTCCTCTGCTCCTACAAATCACCCAAATTAGGCTATTACAGCAATAACAAAGCAAATTAAAAAAAAAAAAAAAAAAAAACAACAACAACAATTTGGTGCGCAAATACTTACAGGCCAGTATGAGCACCCAAAAAACCGCTTCCCCTTTGTTGGACCATCGTAGCGCACTGTCCTCAGTGGTGCAATTTCATTGTGGTAGCAAACCACCTGAGAAGACGAGGTTTGCTTCGACCTCGACCTTGAAGAGGAGCCAATTGAATTATGACTTGCCATTGATAGCGAAATGGAAAAAAAAAATAAAAGAAAGCTTTGAGTACAAGAGAAGAGATGAGATGAAGAAAGATGAAGAAAGATGAAAAAATTAATTGATGGGGAGGGGCAATTTATAAAATTCTCAGAGAAGAACAGGGGAGAAGGCATTAATGGTGTATAAGCTTTTTAACGGTTGGAAATTAAATTAGAAGAAACCGGTTGTTCTAAGCAATCTAATTTTTTAACCGGTTTCAACAGGTGAAGGATCGTTAATGGAAGATAGGGGGAATAGGTGGGATTGTTTCTAGATTTTAGAAAGGTGGGATTGTTTGTGGAAGACCACCTAAAGGTGGGATTATTAGTTTACAATTTTCCTTATTTTTATTGAGCTGTTATTTATACTTAATACTATTTTTTAAGATGAAGAGAACATGGTCTTAGTCCTAAAATATGATTAGTGTCGGCTAACATGAATCGTCATAAGAAACTATCCGACAACTTAAAAATCAGACAACTTTCTGACAAAGTAAAAATAATTTTAGTTTATAAAAAATATATTAAGTTCAACAAAATAAGTTCAATCTAATTTAAATAATTTTCAATCAATATCTGTAAAAAACAAATATTAAAAAAAAAAATTAGTAAAAATAAGCTTTAATCAATAAATATAATTTCTTTAAAGAACAAAAAAGCATTCTTAAGGTTCCCTCTAGGCTTCCTCCTTGGGAGGGTTTTTCTGGTTCTCTCTAGGGTTTCTCCCTTGGGAGGGTTTTTCTAGCCTCCATACTAGATTTTTTTTGCTTTTTTGAAGGTTTTCCTTCACTCTTCTCCTTTTTTCTCTTTTGCTTTCATCTCTTTTCTTCTAGTCTCTTTTGTGAATCTTTGTAGGGGCTTCCATCGATGTTTTTAATTGTGGTAAGCCCCAAAAAACTTTTTAATTACTTTCAATGAATGGATACCATCTTTGAGATGGTTGTTATTCTAGTAGGGGTTAATTCCTTTTTTGGTTTGTCTCCCGAAAATTGAAGATTTAGGGTTTCATAATCTCTGGAAGTATCTAGAAGACCATATGAGTATTTTCACTCACAAAACTATTCATCAGTGGATCTCAAGCCGAATTAGTGCTAAATCACATATTGTATTGCTTTGGATGAAGTTTTTTATTAAGGCGATCGTTGATCGAATCTACGATGTATCTAATTCTAAGGTGATTTGTTCTTGTGTTGGAATTCTAATTTTCCTAGGAATTGTTTGTAAGTGTCATTTGTAATACCCCGAATTTCGGGAAAATACTTTAGTAATTTCTTATATAATTTAATTTGGAGCCAAAATGAATAAAAAATTTGACGCCAATTCAAGTATAAATATTTAATCATTTGAATAATTAATTATTTTCAGATTTCTAATATTGGTGTAATTATCTTTTATAGGTCGGTCCATATTTTATTCAATATGTATGTTGTTATCTTAGTTAATAGTTTTTATCAATTTTAAGAGTTTTTAAAATAATACCTAATATACATTATGATTTACAACTAATTTTAGTTTTGATATTATCTAAAGTATTTATATAATAACTTGGTTTAATTATCAAATTCAATTATTATATTTAATTATGATTTTTGTTCTTTTTTTTTAAAAAAAAAAAAGAAAACAAAAAAAAATTCAGATTTTTGTGAAACGTGTAGCCAGTGAAAACAAACCATGGTTTTAAGAATGATTTTATCACTTTACTTTGTTAATAATTATATTTTAACTTAACCTCTAATTTTCTTCTTCATTAACTCATTTTTTTTTGTTCCTATCTTCCTTCTCCCAACCATTTATGTGTATCCATTTAAATTTTTTCTCATCTTTTAACCTAACTACTAACCTAGACTTAATTTGATCAAGTACTTTAACAACCCCAAAACTTATCATTTTCTAGAAATCATATCACACCTTAAGCTCCATCTTTTCTACATTCTAAACACTATAAATAGACCCTTAATTCTCCTCAATTATTTACACCAAAAATCAGAAATTCTCTTCTCTACTCTCTATCTCACGCCCTCTTCTTCCTCTTAATTCCTTGCTCTTCTCTTCTTACGTGACACACCGCAAACCGACCACCTTTTCCTAGCTGCTGCCCATTATCTTTACCGCCTACTACCCTCCTCCATATAACCTTTACCGACTCGCGTCAACTAGACACCAGCATCATCACTACCCGTAAGGTGCTACGCACCCCTGATCATCTATCATTACTACAATCCCAACATCGTTGCATGCATTGTTTTATACCATGCATAATAATGCTACGTACTCCATTACTACTACTATTAATTATATTATTATACATAATTTCTCCCAAAGTAAAGTATGAGTTTGATTTATATTACGTACTAGACTCCTACTACTAGTATGTTAGACTAATATTATTATTATGATAATACTAATAATTTATCATAAAGGTTTGGTTTTATAAGTTAACATTTTGGTAGTTCATGCGCGCACAAATAGGGTATTATTTATAGTTTTGTGTTTATTTTGTTAACCTTGTATTAATTAAGGGTATTTTAATTGTGTAGGAGGAGTCCCTCGATCGTGGTCAAGTTTAGTGATCGTACCTTAATTGTTCTTGTAATCACGTATAGGTGGCTAGGTCCTTGATACAAGATTGAATGCATGTTTTGGTAAATGTTTATTTTAAAGATTGTTCGAATAAATGTTGCATATGAAAGATTTAAGTTGATGATTTTCATGATGAGTTAAAATATAATTTTACGATTTAAAGGTTTGATCTTTAAAAGTGTAGTTTAACTTAATAAAAGTTGTTTATGGATCACCGGATTTCAAGCTATTGAATTAAAGGAATTAATTTAACTTGTAGCTCATTATGGGCCTGAGTATTTATTATTTTAATTGTCCCTCTATCCGGGACTGGTTAAGTAAGACCATGGCTTTGTATGATCTGGTCTTTCCTCGAGTATAGTTTAACTTGTTTAGGGGGTGTGCACACTTAGGTGAGGAAAATTGGTTTTGGAAATATATTTTTAAATTGGAATGTTTATTAATTGGGAAGTTTCTATTGATGGACATAACTATTTTTGGAAGGTTAAATTTTGGAAATTTTAAAATTGGAAAGTCTAATTTTGGAAAGTGACATTTGAATTGGAGTAATTATTTCGAAAGCATGTTTGCCTAATAAAAGTATTCACATGCCTTGCACTTATATGCACTTAGCGTTTTTGCTAATCCGTTTCCCTTTTTGTTTTTGGTTCGCCCTGTTTACCATTATTGGTAAGCAGTCTTGATTTCAGGTGTGGAGTTGTTCGTGCGCATACCAGAGTCGGGATGGAATCACACAGTTAGGAGTTAATTTTATTTATGACTAGACAAGTTTTTATTGGGGTATTTTGAAACAGTTATTGTGGTTATTTTTATTATTATGAATAAAAGTCAGTTATTTTCCGCTGCTATTTTTGAGTAATTAATTAAGCCTTACGTTTTCACGTGGCGGTTATACACCCAAATCTATCTCTACGGTATTTACATATGTATAACTATAGTATTTACATTGAGGGAGTTTGGGGTGTTACACCGTTTGACTATCTTTCATTAATGAAATCCTTATTATTCTTGTCAAAATAAATAAATAAATAAATCAGTTTGGCATAACAAATTTAAGAACAGTAGAAGTATAAGTACAATAAAATAAAAATAAAAAAATAAGTTCAGCAAAATAATTTCAATTAAACAATGCAAGGTGAAAATAATAGGTCCATGCTCCATAATCACTTGTCAACCTAGTTCAAATTAGTAAGCTATATGCGTTAAAAGTGACGGAGAAGGATAAGTAGAACTCAACCTCAAACTTACCTATTAGAAATTAGAATTGATTCTCATATAAAAGACCAGTTTCATATAAACCTTTTCCTATACATACTCAGTT